ACTTAAAGGACTCAAAAAGAGTCAAAATTAATGACCAAAGACTAAAAAAAACTATATTTTTAAAGTTTAGGAACAAAATTAAAGGATTAAAACAGGAATTTGGGAACAATTAAAAGATTTTTCAGGAATTAGGAACAGAAATAAAGGATTAGGACAGGAATTTAGGAACAATTAAAAGATTTTTCAGGAATTAGGAACAGAAATAAAGGATTAGGACAGGAATTTAGGAACAATTAAACGATTGTTCAGGAATTAGGAACAAAATTAAAGGATTCGGACAGGGATTTAGGAACAATAAAAAGATTGTTCAGGAATTAGGAACAAAAATAAAGGATAAGGACAGGGATTTAGGAACAATAAACAGATTGTTCAGGAATTAGGAACAAAAATATAGCATTAGGACAGGGATTTAAGGTGGGTCGGACACAGGAACAGGAACAATAATAGGTACATTAGCAATTTAAGAACAAAAAGAAATTACTAGTTATACTTAAATGCATGAAAATTAGGAACAATATTACAATTTTGATAAATGAGTTTTGATTAAGAAACATTACTAGATATGAACATTATTATAACTTAAGTCTAGTTCTTACAAATTTCTAATTATAAATTTATCGTTAACAATAACATTTAGCAAATTGGGAACATTTTTTTGCCTCGAAATCTCAGGGGGGGCGAATGTCCCCCCGCCCCTGACTGCAACTATTTGCCGATTTTTATTCATTTAACCATAGGTACAATTATAGTTTGTATCTATCTATCTACACTGCTTTGGTAAAGCGTAACCGTAGTTACCTATGGTAGAGCGTCTAAGAAATTGGCCATATAAGTGTTATATAAACAAAATATGTCAGATTTGGCAAGATTGGGGGGGGGGAGCTTGGTGTCATTGTTGACACTGGAAAATTATCATATTTCATTTTAAGAACGCCCCATGACACCAAATAATCATAATAAATGTTTCATAACTACATTATCAGAGCGATCTACATAGTTTTCAACATTGTCCATCACCTTTTTTGCCGACTTTTATTCTGAAGTTTGATCAGGCGTTACCCTTATGGTTTTCTGTAGACTTTGATATCACGGGTCTACAAAACAAGGAACTTTTACTGAGTATTTGATAAATTCCTAATATGAGTTCTCAATAACCAGGCTTCAACATGTCATAAATCTAGAGTTGACGTAAAGTAATAGATGTGTCTTTTCTAATAGCCGTCTGGCTGTCCCATGTCTCTATTATCCTATTTTTGTCTCGTGGTTTATATGTTTACGCGCCAATTTACCGTCTGTGCACATTTGCCGCGTCAATTAGCATCATCATTCATCATACGACCGAGAAAGCAGGAAGCAAGGCAGAGTCTCTCAGCAATTAGGTTTTTCACGATCTATAATGATACCGCCCAGGAGGAGGGGCTAGCTTACACCCCCGCCCCCTCCCCCCTCCCATTCTTCATCCCCCATCCCCTCTTTCTCTAATTTTATCAGCTTTTTTACAGTGCAGACACCTTCGACAAAAAGCACCATTGAATTTTGCTCAATAAAATGTCACGTTAAATTTTCTAACAATTGTTTTATACTTTCTGCTCGTTTTATCGTGGTTTGGTAACGTGTAGAATTTTGCATTACAATTTATTATTTAATTTTTCTTAGATTTCTTAATGTTATTTGTACGTATAGTAAATAAAAAAACTTATCGCAGATATTTTTTCATCGTTTGCGCATTTCCAAAGTTTGATACGAACAGACATACAATTCAAATATGTATAAATGGATCATAACAGTGTAGTTTGTCAACATGCAACATTCAAAAAGAAGTGTGTGAAACGTGTTTTTAACATATAAAGGATGAGATTTTAATGACGACCTAAAACTCTTTCTATACAACAATTTGAAGGTTTAATTTGGGTTTCTGCCTTGACAAAGAAAGAAACAAGTTTACAGTCGCAGGAAATGAAGAATATAAGAACAAGGACTGAGTAAAATCAGTACAGTCGTCTCTGAAGTCTGACAAGGTGATAAATATAACTGCAAAACAAAATCATGTGAAAATACAAATTTTGCACAAATATTAAAATATTAAGTCGGCGGAAAGCATGTACAGGCCTTGCGCACACTTGTGAAAATATGAATGGTGGATAAGGGTGGGAAGAGATGAGTACCGAGGTTTGGATTAAAATGACCATTGTTCCTGAGGATCATAGGATCATAGGCCAAACCTACACAATCAAACAAATTCAAGCATATCAGGCGATACAAGTTAGTGACACAGTTTCAAAATGGTGAAGAAAAGAGGGGGGCGAAGATAGATAAAATAAATATAAATATAAACATGAGAACAAGGGAAAGAAGGAGATAAAAACAGATCAGCAAAAATTTTAGACATACACAAGAAAGGAAAACTTAGGAAGAACAATAAAGCGGAAATTTATTTCAAAATTTTATGAAGAAATAAGCTAAGTTTAATTTGATCATTAGTGTTGATAACGACGTTTTGTCTTCAAAAGTAAAAGTAGTGAATCGAAAATACCACTAAATCAATTCAAATTGCGTCTACATTCGATTTAAATGAATTTTAGTGTACGAATGTATGTAGAAGAGTATAAAGTGAGGGGGGGGGGGTATACCAGGGAGGGGGGGAGGAGAGTGTAAAGAAAGGGGGGGGTATAGATAGAACAATAGAGCATTTGATAAACAATGGTTACTGGTTAGGTTACCCATTTCTGAACACTTATCAGTATTGATCTTCAACCAACAACCTTTACCATATACAATAAATACAACCCAGTTTGGTAACCCTAAGATAAATTCTAAATGCTAAAGACATAGCATTTTGTTTTAACTACCATTACAATCATAATTGGATGAAAATAAAGTAAAAAAAAAGCTTCATGTTTTCTATGTGACAATTGAAAAACATTTTTACAACAGAAATACCGTTTATTTATGATTAATCAGTGTGACATTAGAAAAATTCAAATTTACATTTAACATACAGTGGTCTCCAGTTTCATGCAAACATTATATAGTTAACCTGAAATAAAGTGGGTTGAAAACAAAATGATATGTCTAATATCTTTGAAACTTAATTTTTAGACGATTGACTGAAGAAAAGAGTAAAGAAGTAATGATTTAAAGGAAGAAAGATTGAATGAATGAAAGGAGAAATAATCTTTAAAAATTATAACATGAAAAAATGAATAAATGCATGAAAGAAAGGATGAATAAATGAATGAATGTATGAGAGAAAGAATGGATAATGGGATGTATGAGAGAAAGGATGGATAAATGAATGAATGTATTGAGAGAATGAATAAATGAAAGGAGAAAAAATCTTTAAAAAATATAACATGAAAAAATGAATGAATGCATAAAAGAAAGGATGGATAAATAAATGAAAGGATGCATGAATAAATGAATGAAAGGATTAGAGAAAGTATGAATGAATGCATGAATAAATGAAAGGATATATGAGAGAAAGGATGGATAAATGAATGAATGTATAAGAGAAAGGTATGTTGGCACGAGTGTAGTGAGGGTTGAATGTATGATGGATAAGGGAGTAAACCTGAAACCATCCTGCTCCACCAAATTGTAACAAGATCTAGAGACATTTAAACCAGGAGGTGTGTTAGATATGATGGAGGAGGGGGATCACAATACCCCCAGCTTCTCAAATCCCCTCCCCCCATCTCACTTTCCAATAAAAAGAACAAAATGTAAAATAATACTTTTTCATCACAAAAAAAAGGATTAATAGAGCAAATCAAGAAATAAGTTAGATTAATATAAAAAAATGAAAAAATGAAAAAAAGAAAAAGCTCAGTGGTTGAAAAAAAAGTCTTAAATGTGAGATGAAAAGAAAAGGAAAAATGGCGAAAGAAAATGGAAATGTGATCGACGAGAGAAAGGTGATGTTTCTTAATTTAGTATTTGTATCAAATAATTAATTAGTATATAATTTTAATTAGATTAGGTCTAAAAACAATAACAACACTCTTAATACTTTGTCAGTTACGAACCTATCTTAGACATCACTAACTAGATCGATCCTACCCCTATTCTAGGTCCCCCATATTTACATATACTTTCTCTATGTATCCAATAATCCATATCAATCCTAGGGAAGTGTTTAGATTCCTTCAGAAACAACAACAAACATATTTGCTGGACAAATTGAACAGCTGGTATGCCAGGATTAACCCTTTACAGTCGGAGTAGGGTGGGGGGGGGGGGTCAACAGTACCCCGGGCAGTGGGTATATATTCAATTATTTCATCTGAAATTGGGTTCTAATCTGTTCTAATCTGGGGTTCAGCAAATTCAGGGAATATCTTAATCTTAATTGTTTATCTTAAGCAATAATTAATGGATTGATTGATTGATTAGCTAAGATTAGATTACATCGTTTATAACAGTTCATAGGGGTGTTTTTATTCAACAATAACAAACCTAACAAACTGAACAAACAGTTTTAATCGCTAGAATTGTGAGGGTTTATTAAGGGGAAGGTAGGGGAATGAATTTTTATGAACTTCAACTCAGAAAAACTAATAAAACTTGGAAGAATCAATGATTGTACGTATTTTAGCATCATTTTTAAGGCAATATTTCTTTAAATATCCCCCCCCCCCTCCACCATTTTTATAAATATAAAAAGTACGAAAAAATCCTAACTAAGAACCCTTAAATACTTCTATTCATCAATGAGAAAATATATACAGATAAACGGCTTCGAAAACTATGTAAAATTATAAGGACGTAGACGGCATATCCAGTTCAAAACGGCACATTTGAAACCATCTCTAAAACAATTGGTTTATGCTGGAGTCTATGAAGGAAATTGCCAGAATTCAACATGTTTTAGGAAAGAAAAAAGATTGAATCTTCCTTATTGTGATGCTCAAATAAAGGGTGCCGTTGTGAACCAGAGATGCCACACTTTATATGAAGGTTACATTTTAAAAACATTTCAAGTCCTTTAATTGATCTCCTACCTGATGAAGAGGCTGGCCTGCGAGGCTGGGGATGTCGGTTTACAAGAACAGGAATCTTCTAGAAAAAAAAATATTTTTAAAGATTTAATTTAACGTGTTTCACAGGTTTCCGTGAAGATTGGAGATATCTTTATTTTTCTATTTGAAAACTTTAAATGCAGTTTTACCATATTTAAACTCTTGGTTTTTAACAGGCTGAATATAAATTTATTTTTTGTAAGCTTTAGAAAGCTTGAAGTTCAAAATGTCTTAAATATAAGGACATAAAAAATAAACATTTTATCAAAAAATATTAATTTTCTGGAATTTTTCAATATTTAATACTTTTCTGATAAATTTTATTTAGTATATTTATTATAGTCCGAATTTAATGAATTTAAGCCGCGTCTCATATCCCCCAAAAACCTGTTTCAATTGAAAAATTGAATACAATTTTAAGTGAAACCAACTGTATTTTAGCCGCGGCTCAAATTCTTTAAATTCGGCTTCTTATGAGTGATAAAACCAAATTAAGTTGTATTAAACCTCTTAAATAATTGTATTAAGAGGAATAGTTGCGACTAATTAAGCAAAAATGTCCTCCTGTTATTTCTCGATTTTGTGATTTCTACCTTTGATCCGGGAAGAATGGATTGACACTCAGCATTTGCGTACAAAGAAGGAGGATGTGCTGTAAACAGATGTTCACAAAGCTCGAGATCTGTGGCGTAGTGAGGGCCGTTTGGGCAGAGCCTTTGATATCAGTTTATTCTATTTAACGCTAGACGGAGTAAAACTCATTTTAAAAATTACCTTGCCATAATTTTTTGCTCGGAATAAAATGGATAGTTAAATCTGTAGTTAAAATTATGTCAAAAAATAATTATGCAGTTTTTTTTCAAATTATTATTTAGTAAATTACAGTATAATCTTTTCTTTCTCTACACACTTGCAACTTGATCATGAAAACCTTTGATTTTTCTATTATTGGATATTTGACGTAGTAGAATTCTTGGCTGAAATCAAGGTCTGCAAAACAGTTTGCAATTCAGTTCTTTTGCAAATTTAAAAATAGTTAAACTTTAGTAAATTCCGCAAAACTGGTTTTCCTGCAAATCCGCAAGATATTCCGTCCTTTCCCCATATGAATGTAGAACTCTCCATGCGTGTTTCTTATATGCTTTCGTAGCGAGGATTCAGGCTGGGCTATAAACCTTCTACCACAGGATCTTGATATAAGAAAATATTAGTTTTTTTGATTCAAAACTTATTTTAAGAAAAGACTTTTATTTTTATTAACGTTATTAAAAATTAGGTTAACAGGCTATTTATAAACTAAGTGATCTTGATTAAAAAAGAATGAAAAAGAAATCATTTTATTAAGTGTTTTTTGTTATATTTTTAAGTTCTTGTAATTCCATGTCCAGTAGTAATCCAAAACATAAGATGTTATAGTTTAAATAAATATGATAGCGTAACTTAAAGAATCAAATAAATATGCAATTGTAAAAACATTCATTTTTTAACAAATAGTTCATTACTTATTTACTGAACTGATGAATTAATAGATACTAAATTTCTTAAAAATATGAATTTCTGAATTACCAAGTTACTAAGCATCTAAGTTACTAAGTAACTAAGTTACTAAGTAACTAAGTTACTAAGTAACTAAGTTACTAAGTTACTAAGTTACTAAGTAACTAAGTAACTAAGTAACTAGGTTACTAAGTTATTAAGTAATTAAGTTACTAAGTTACTATCCTTTCCAGTCTCCAACCCTTTCCCACCTTCCTTCATCCATGGAGTTAAGTGTAAAATGAAAACATGTTTTCATACTTATTGCAAGATAGATGGATAGATATGGATAAATAGATAGATATGTACAAGATAAAAAAAAAGATTGTCATGCACAAAATATTTACAAGGTGCGAACACGCTTACTATCTTGTAAAATATCTCTGTATTATGAACCTATCTATCTATCTTCCCCCAATGCCGTCGGGTTCTAAAATCAGGGTAGAGTGCAATTGACGTTTAACAAAAATTAAACGTCAGAGCAAAATAGACAGAAGTACAAAGTATGAATAAGAAAAAAATACCAGGGTAACCAGAAAACAGTGGTATAACTGGTTCGTTTTCAATTAAAACTAAAGACAAGGATTTGTAAGGGGTATTTTGATGCCTTTTACACAAATTTATTAATTTTCCCCTAAAATAGCTTTTTTCCCCTAAAATTATTCATTTCCGATATCAAGTGAGATAATCCAAAATAAAAAGAACTTTATACTCCATAGTTCACACTACTTAATAAACATTAATTTACGATTTTAAATATTTAAAATATCAATTAATCTAAATCTATTGGGGCAAACCCCCGACCCTGAACCAGTGAAATCTAAGGATTTCAGGCCCCAACGGGTACTGAACATAGGCGGTTTCAAGGGGGGGGTGGCAGTCCATTACCCCCCCCTGAGTGAAATTAGGGGGGGGTGTACCCCCCCCTGGATTTTTACAAATCATTTCTCATTTAAAGTATAGTTTTTATTTATTCTGTATAAATAATAAAGTTTACTTGAAAGTGACAATGAAAATAAACTTTATGAAATGATATCAATTATCATGTTCCTACATATTATATCTATCCAGCCTCCTCCATTAAATACATCCGTACTTTTCCGAGTACGCGGCATAACTCAGAATTATGCGCAATTAAAACCAAAACTTTGTGATTCAAATACTGCTCGCTCAATGCAGTGCTCTCACTAGTCACCAGTTTGGCAGTTTATAATGTGAAATATCTTTGATATTTTTTTTATATGAACGTCAACACTATATGGAAAATCAAAATTTATATGTTTTACTTTTAATTTACTGACATCATGACCATGAACTGAGACAAAATTTTTATCTTTGCATTTTCAGATAACATGAAACGAAACAACCCTAGTAGTAGTAACACCACGTCCACACAGTCTCAAAAGTCAATATTAGACTTTTTTTCTTCCAACCATGTTCAGCTTACCCCAGCTAAAAAACTAAGGTTCAATATATTTCACTTATCTATTACTTTAATTTTTAAATCTTTATCTTTCTATAATTTATTTAATTAAAGGGACTGTAAGCGTAATTTCAAGTGACCCTCCAAATCCCATACAAAGATAGCAATGCCCGATTCACAATGGTACCCTTAAAAGCTTTTTCTGATAAAATATGAATTAGATATCAATGTTTTTAATTTTGAAAACTGATCGTTTTTAATTGGGGCTTCTTTACAAAAGTGACTTGCGAATGGAACACCAATAGGAATTATCACAATTAAACACTTCATCTCAAGATNGGGTAAAAAAATTTTTTCGCCCTTCGGGCGAAATATTTTTTTCCCCCCCCCTGACTAAATTCCTGAAACCGCCCATGGTACTGAATGCTAAGCCCCCCCTGAAAAGAAAAAAAGCGGGGGGCTTGGACAATTTTATGACTACGCCCCTGCAGTATCTACCTATCTATATGTCTATCAAACTATCGAGACTTGATCTCTGATGGTTTCATGATTCCCTGGCTTCTCAGTCGGGTAAATAAAAACATGCTTGGAATGAATGCCAATTTTCTACAAGGGTTTTGGACAGGGTGCTCTTACCAACAGGGTTTCCTAGGCTTTATTTACGTACACTATACAGATAAGGTTCTCTTTAAAGATGGCAATGGTAACCTTGATCAATATATCAGATCAATATATATAGAAAATATTTTCAGTTTTCCAGGTTGAAGTGTTTAATTCTGAAAATTCATATATTTTCCCTGCAGTAGAAATGCGTGAAAATAATCAGTTCTCATCACCGTAAAATCTTACTTTCTGAGATTTTAATTTTATGCATTTTTAACGCACAACATATATCGGGGTTTCATGGCATCTGATTGACTTAAACTAAAGGGGATGGTGGAGTTGGCACATTTGATGTAGGGGGGGGGGGCCCTGCCTTCATTTTTGGTTCAAATCTTCCAATTTTTTGGATGCACTTGTGTATTATTTT